AATAATTTTTTAGACAATTAATCGCTCAGCAAAATTTGTTATCGTGACAGGTCTAGTTGCAACATACTTTCAATAACTTTTTTACATACTACCTCATTTATTTGATTAACACCTCATGAGATTTTTTAAAAGAGACTTATATTTACCTTCCTAACATGTCAGACAGAATGTCCAGAGCCTCTAACTGAACGGACACGTCTTCTTGTTTCCCAAGGGCACCAATCAGCTGAGAGGTAATCTTCTTACACACGCTGGCTGTGAGACTCAAACCTGCCAACATCACGGGGAAATTTAGGAGGAGGTATCATTCCTAAGCTCAAAACACAAATCTTATGGACATTCATCCAAAATTTAACTCTTTATTGACTCTTCTGGCATGCAGGACAGAGCTGAAGCAACAACCAGCCTTCACCTGAGGCAGACAGTGGCAGCTCAGCGATCACGGCCTTCAGTCCCATGCTGGAAATGTCTCTCAGCTGCTCCTTATCTGACGTCATGTTGGTACATAGGATGTCCACCATCACCTCCACCTGAGGCTCCTTCACTTTACTCACCAGAGGGGCCAAACTAAAAATCCAGAATATTGTATCTCAGTTTATGTCTTCACAAAAGTTTGTTTTTAATGCAGACATATACATTTATATCTTATTTCATCGTTCCATTGAAATTAAAAGAGACTTCCAGTAAACACGTTTGTCTATCCCAGATAAACAGTTTTTGGGTGTCATTTGATTTTTTACTTCTGGTACAAGTCAATTAAAATGTAAATAAAATTAAAACATTCATCTAAAAGAAGTCATAATAGTAGACGGACATTTTTCATCAGTAAGTAAATAGTGAATGAATTTCATACAACTGATGTATGAAAACACTGGTTTATGTTTAAGTGAATGATTTCTCGACATATTCCACACCGTTTGAGGAATGCGTCTGTTGTAGGTTTTACCATTTTACAGCCAGGTTTTGCACCTCTCCGTTTTTGTCCTCCAGCAGTCTGAGCAGCATGTTTACCACCTTTCTCTCACTGTCCTCATCCAGCTTAATGCTGTCTTTCTGCAGTTCCAACATCAGGTCATTTGTGGCCATAAACCTGGATGCACAAACATGTCATAGAGCAAATACAAACTCAAACACAGGTTCAAAAAGTGAGATTGTCGGGTTAAGATGTAAATTTTACTGAAAGAATTATAAAGTGAAAAGCCAGTGAGAGTAAACCGACTAAGATACATTCATTCATTCATCCATATGATGTATTTAGAGAGGACTCAAACACATTTGAAGGAATATTAACAAGTTATCAATTATTAGAAATGTTTTATTCCATAATGTTCTATTAGAAATGCTTTGTTCCATTGCTTTCCATTTAAAGCAAACATGGAACATGTTTTGTTCCGTGTTTGCTTTCAATTAAGTTGAAAGAAAACATCTCAAGTTTACCAATAACAGACGAGTAAAGCCTTTATTTTTGATCATTAAATATCCACCACAATAGTTCTGTATTTTATGTATTTGATTTAACTTTTTTATAAATTTCTTGAAAACCTTAAGTTTTTCCCCCTTATATTTAGTTGACTAACGGCATTAGGAGACTTGGTAAATAATGAGTTGTGTGAGCAACTTATAGAGTCAGTAAATAGGGGGAAAAAATTCACAAACAAATAGGTTTTACTTTGGAAAGAGGACCCACACTGGCATTCCCATGACATCAGTCAGACTAAATGTGTCATGTCACTTTCAGAGGCTGCTGACAAACTCTTACTTTACCTGAAATCTTTGTCAGTTGATGTCATTTTCTCCAACAAGCTGGAGATGTGGTACGAAACACTCGACATGGTGGTAGTCTAACCGCTGACACCGTAGCTATGAAACTTATGATCTGTGGCAAAGCGGTGAAAGTGGAGCAAAAGATTTACCCTGACAACATGGCGAGGCTGGTGGGCTGAAGGGAGAGCAAACGGTCGGTGGAACCTGACACCTAGTGGGTAAAGATAAAAATAGACGTTAAATCAGAGTGTAGTGGTTTATGTCGCCCCCATGTGGACATAAAATGTATCGCACCTAAGTGTCGTGCAAGAATGGAAGAGTTGTAAATTAAAAAAAGTAAAAGTACGTAGTTACTGTACTTGAATAGATTTTTCAGGTATTTGTACTTCACTTATGTGTTCATCTTTCTGGCGACTTTTTACTTTTACTCATAACATTTTAAGAGAAACTCCTGTGCTTTCTTCTCACATTTTCACATCTTTCTACTTCTATTATAAAAGAAAACAATGACGTTGAGTCATATCAAATCGGAGCAAAAGTGTCCTTCCACGTTGTTGGCTCAAAGAAAAATTAATGACAAATTTGCTGTGTTTTGTGCAATCTAAATTGTCCTGACCTGACTGAGATTTGATTTGAAGAAAAACTATACAGTATCAGTTTTTAGTTTTATTTCTATACCAACACAGAGCATATTGTGAGCAAAAGAAAACAAATAATGTATTTTTTATGACAAGAACACAAGTTTTAGACTTATCAAAAGTCATTTTGTATTCCTGGAGGTAAAAATTACTTTTTATTTATTTCAAAACTTGTATTTTTTTTACCTGAGCAAAACCTAAACTTTTACTAAAGTATTTTTTCATACTAGTATCTGTATCTGTATCTGTTTAAGGGTGTTATTTTTTTTATCTCTATTATCCTTGATGTATCCTTGATGTTTAACATTATTGCCAATCTTTATCGTATCTGGGATGTTTAACATTGTCCCCGATGTCAAGTGTTATCTCAAGAAAAGTTTCCTATTACGTTAAACTTTGGAGATAACATTAAACATCCAAGACATGATTAAACATCAGCGACATCATTAAACATTAAGGACAATGTTAATTGGAGATAAAATGAAAAATTGGGGACAATGTTAAAGATCCTGGACGACGTAAAACATTACAGATAACATCACTGATAGCATTGTGCCCAATGTCCTTTTTTCTGTCTTATCTCAAAGAAATCTTTATGTCCAACCTCCACATTCAGAGATAATTTTCTAGGATTTTTTTGGTTTTATTAATTTTTATTTTAACAGACAGACAGTTTGTGAGAACGTCCCTGTAAAGAAATCAAAAATGGTCATGTAACTCCCAGGAGCTGAAGGGAACCAGGACGGATCAATGGAACCAGGATGAAGGGAATCAGGATGGATGAAGGAAACCAGGATGGATCGAGGGAAACCTAATGAAGGGAACCAGGATGGAACAAGGGAACTATAGGATGGACTCAGATGTAGCTTAGCGGTTCAGCTCGGGCTGAAAGCAGCTTCACATGAGGACAGCAGAGTTAATTCCTGGTCGTAAATTCTCTCTTCCAGAGAATTTGTTGCTCCAGCTCAGTGTGATGGAGCAACTCCAACTGTGAACAGGTGAGGCCGTTTTTAGGCTGTTTTGATCTCAAACCTCCCCCATCAGCGGCGCCTCAGATGAGCGAGTAATATAATGACATGACGCCGACCCATGTGCCTCATTACTGATGGTACCGGAGTCTAATTGCATCAAGCTGCTGTGGAACATATGATGAAAGTCTCCCACTGCTCAGACAAACAGAAAGGAGAAACAAAAACAGAGCTTTGAGATGAATTATTTTCAGCAGACTCTACGTTGTGGAGATGGAAAATAAAAACCCAGCCAAGAAGAAGGAAGATGCTCAGGGCAGGACCGGAGGGAAGATTCATCTTCTTCTGGTCCTAACAGGAAATAAAACATTGATAACTGAATAAATGAAAAGATATAATGCTAGAGACAAGCCAGTCACAATAAGCAATAAATCAATTAATCACGTGATAAATTAAAACAAGCTCAATTTCCATTTGCATGATGTATTGTTTCTATTTTTTCTTTAAACATAATGACAAAAGTCTTCAGTCTGATGATTTGGTGTCAACTAGCAATTTTTGCAAGACTATATTGTTTCCAGAGACTTTATATATTTTTTTTTTATTTATTTATTTGTGATATCTATAGCAAACAGGGCAAACGTCAAGCTGTCGTATTCCCATTCCCCCTCAGTCTCCCACTAAGTAAAAGAGAAAATAACCTGTAGTTTTAAGGTCTGCAGTTTCCAGATGAGGTAGAGATATTTGGGTCCTTTTCATCATCTGCCTGTAGCTAAAAACACTCAGATATTTCTGCTCTGCTTTAAAGCTGGAGCGTCTGACTCCACAGATACAAATCTCTAAGTAATAAAATTGTATTTCTCTCTCAGCAGAGGAAGGTGACCTTTTCCTAAAAGGCAGCTTCTTATTGGCTCTTTGCACGTACAGCGCTGACCTCATGAGCGAAATTCGGCTCTCTTTCTTCCACTTTGAGTTACCAAGACATAACGAGGCGTACATCTTAAAACCTTTCTCCAGCTTACTTGTTGAGGCTTCGGATCGAGGTACGTCACTAATTATTACCTTGGGCAAACCCTGCAAGCACCTAGTGTAAAATGCCAGTTTCAATAAACAGGTGACTCTTCAGAAAGCATGAATTAAACACAGTTCATCATTAAAACTCAGAGCTTGTTAGTAAGCATAAATAATCAGAGACTCTGGATAATCTACTGAAGACACTTTTGTTTCAACCTGCTTCTGGGACTTGAGAGAAGAAAATTGGTGTCAAACTTTTGTGCAGCAAAAATTTGTTTGTGAATCATCCATCCATCCATCCATCCATCCATCCATCCATCCATCCATCCATCCATCCATCCATCCATCCATCCAACCCCAGAGGGATAACCCTCTGGGGTTGGGAGTGGTGCTGATGCCTATCTCCAGTGTTTGTGAATCATTTTAAAGATATTAATAAATGTTTCCAAAGGTCAACCAGCCCCTCCTCATTTACAAATTATAATTAAGCAAACTGAGCAAAACCTCTATTTAGCCCCAAACACACACACACACGCTGTTCTGACACACTTTTAAGAAAATCGCCTGAAGCTCTGTGATGTCTTGTTAGGTGGAACCGTTCTCCGTCATTCTTTGTTCCTCCCGGTAGGAAGGAAGGTGGGACTCGGTGGAAGCGGTTTCTGTACTTGTTGCCACGTCGGACTGTTTGGTGAACCTGGAGAATTAATTTCACATATACTTGAGTAAATATTTTTAGGAGGACTAAATAACAGTCATGGTGAGTTTCAGTACTTATAAACTTAGCTGCTGGTCAAGCTGCTTCAGGACAACAATGATACTTATCATTAATAAGTACTGACGTTCTCGTTTTTGCAATTCGTTAGCACATTGGCTAATGACAGGAGGCTAATTTCTCTGATTTGTATTTAATTATGATCTTTTTGTGATTTAAAGGTTTCTGTTATTAACACAGTGGACACCTCGCATGAGGACATGATTGTGAGTATTTATTTATTTATTTTTTCATTCTTGTAATATGCCATTGTTGCTCGAAGCTAACATAAGGCGCTAGTGCTAAGGATTATCTTTATTGAAACGTTGTTGTATGTTTTTGGACAACATACATTTCTTTTATCTGTTTTTATCACCTATAAAATACTTGGGAGATGCACTTTGTAATCAGGAAAGTATCTAACAGTAATCATGAACGTTTGTTTACTGTAAACATTTATTAGAAGCACATTACTGTATGGTTCCTCTTATTGTGTTTTTACAGCCATGTTTATTTGGGAAACATGGAACTGGAGTTAATTTCTATACGAAAAATACAGACTTTTTATTACTTTTTATTTTAAATAGACACGTAGCAAAAACACAGTGATTGTTATAATTGTAATATTCACAGCATTGTTTGTAGATGTAGTTTAATTTGAATACATTCACTTAAGAAAATGTGCATCAGCTACATTTAGAAGTCAGCTTGACTGTCAAAATAACGTTCATCAAGAGTAATGGGTAGCTCTTGCAATACCTCTGTACTAGTATGCAAAGGCCCATGTCTTATTTAATTTAATTCAATTTAAATTTAAAAAAGTAGTGCAATAGTACAAAAGGAAAATTAAATAATTACTTAATAACTAAATACCAACTAAATGATTATAGTAACATAATGTTTTGCTTCCTTGTTCTTTTCTTTGTTTTTTTTTTTTTTCTAATTATCTTTTACTAGCTCTTTCTGAAATGTGCTATGCAAATAAAATTGTCTTGCAAAGTGGTGTACAAGTGAGTCTGTTTTAAAACAGACTAATTAATGTTTTGGTTTGTATAATTAGCCTCTAAAGATACAAAATTGTCTTTGAAAATCCCAGAATCTGAAATTTGGTTCTGGTAAAAGCTGCTACTTCAGATTCATGTTTTGAGTTTTTCAGCTTGTCACTGGTAACCAATCATGAAATAGTGGAGCATTCCTGGTTGTGTTTGTTTCAGCACGATGCCCAGATGGATTACTATGGGACTCGGCTTGCCACCTGCTCCTCTGACCGCACCGTCAAGATATTTGATGTCAGGAATGGAGGACAGATTCTGGTGGCAGATCTCAGGGGGTAAGAAACAGAACCAGGAGGACTAAATCAACAACAAGAAAAACTATTACATACTGTCAAGATCCAAAAGTAAATAACAAGCAATATTTTCCACTGTTCCTCTGGTCACAATTTATTATTTTCTTTTATGCCATGTTGTTTTTTGTCTCTTTGGAGGTTATATTCACTTATTGTATTCATTGTACATAAGTGGAATTGAAGCCATTTCTTATGTTGAATTCCAATAATTGTTCTTTTTAGACACGAAGGCCCCGTGTGGCAAGTAGCGTGGGCTCACCCGATGTTTGGCAACATTCTGGCTTCTTGTTCTTACGACCGAAAAGTCATCATCTGGAAGGAGGAGAATGGAGCCTGGGACAAGATGTACGAGTACACCGGACATGAATCTTCAGGTTGGTAGATGGCCTTGAATCTATTTTCCTCTTCCTTCTGCTTAGCTGCTGACTCTGTGGAGAAGAAAACCAAGCCTTTTCTGGCTGTTAATATTTCAACTGCTGACCATTTGTTTCCCTTAATGAATAGCAAACTCATCAGCAAGGTAGTTAATAAATTGAAGTTCAGCCATATATCTAGTGCATGTTCAAAATAATCAGTAGCACTATGTAAAACTGTAAAAGTTTTAGTGTGTGCCAAATCCATCTTCCTTTTTATTATAAAATAATAAACAGTTTCCATTTTGTATTATCAATAAACTGTTTATTTTTTTGTATGGTGCTATTAAATGAATTTCAGCATCTTCCCACTTTTTTTAAGCATTCATTGCTTATTTTATTGGTCACATGGCTTAGAAACTAAAACATCTCATTTATGGGGATTGTACAGTTTGTACTTAGGAGTATTTCCTGTCCCTTTAGAGCAACCTGCGTTCATATTTCATGACAGACATCAATCATCTAATGATGAATTGATTCTGAGATAATTTTCAACATTCTGTGAAGACGTTGATCTTGTTCTTTTCTCCATCCCTCTGTGTCCACAGTGAACTCGGTTTGCTGGGGTCCGTATGAATTTGGTTTAATTCTGGCCTGTGGAAGCTCAGACGGGGCGATTTCTCTACTCACATTTACTGGAGATCAGCAGTGGGATGTCAAGAAGATTAGCAATGCACACACTGTGAGTCAAGTAGTAGAAGTAGATTGTGATTCCTGTCATTGTTTTGTTTATTTTTCTTTGCTGTTCATTTTGAGGAGTGGGTTTAGTGTAAATCTAAGCTGTATTTTTGCTGCAGATTGGCTGTAATGCTGTGAGTTGGGCTCCTGCTGTAGTCCCAGGCAGTCTGATCGATCAACCATCTGGACAGAAACCAAACTATGTCAAACGTTTCGTCTCGGGAGGCTGTGACAACCTGGTTAAACTCTGGAAGTGAGTCTCTGTTGTCCAACATATCTGTAGTGATGATGCTTTTTGTATAATTCTTAGTTAGGTAGATAGTTTTGCTCAAAATAGTGATTATAAGCTTTTTTTAAGATCCATGCTAAGCGTTTGAATAATTTTGTTTCTGCGTATTTATGATTTTTTTTACATGCTAGTCTGTCTTTCTGCAAGACAAAGAGTGCAGGAACGTCATATTTGGTTAATTTAAATGTCTAAGCATTTTTTTTTTTGTTTCATTATTAAACTTCCTTTAATATTTTCCAAATATATGTCCTGCTAGTAGACTTTCAACATCTTTATAAGGTGGATAACTAATAACTGGAAATTCTTATGTGAACAGCAATTATTTTTTTTAGTCGAGCATTTATTTGTGCAACCACTTAAAAACCCAGTATGTTATGCTTTAAGTGTTGCTTCCTCTCTGCAGAGAGGAGGACGGTCAGTGGAAGGAGGACCAGAAGCTGGAGGCGCACAGTGATTGGGTGAGAGACGTTGGCTGGGCTCCTTCCATTGGTCTTCCCACCAGCACCATTGCTAGCTGCTCCCAGGTAAAGTTTTAAGGTGTAAATCCCTGTGGGTTTACTAGACTCATTTTCTAAGACATAGTTATTGTTTCTTTTATCCCTTATAAAACACTAAAGAGAATGTAGTACTTTGCTTTGCACTCAATTCTTTACTTGTACCACTAGGTGGAGCCATAAAACTATAATGTTTTATAGTTGGTTGGTGGTAAATAAAAAAAAAAAAAGTTCTTTTATTAAGGTTTTTCTTTTCATGGCCGAACTAATTAAGTATATCTGCTAATAGAGTGTGATCTAATGAATGAGTTTCATTGCTGTAGATACATTTTGAATAAGTTAAAAATAATTATTGAAGTTTAATCCTGTAAATGTAAACATCTGTTTCTTTATGTCACTTCCAGGACGGCCGTGTGTTTATCTGGACGTGTGACGACCCTGCTGGCAACACCTGGACGGTCAAACTGCTCCACAAGTTCAACGATGTGGTTTGGCACGTCAGCTGGTCCATCACCGGAAATATACTGGCAGTTTCTGGTGGAGACAACAAGGTGAAATATATCATCACGTTCTTAAGAGTCTTGATAAGTAGAAATATAAATGTGCTTGAGATCTAAAAGCTGAAGATAAAGATTTGTGTGCCTTCTTGTGCCTGTAGGTGACGCTGTGGAAGGAGTCCGTGGACGGTCAATGGGCGTGTATTAGCGATGTCAGCAAAGGCCAGGGCGCCGTTTCCACCATTACAGACACTCAGCAGAATGAGCAGTGACAACCTTACAGCAAAGAGTGCAGCTTTAAGAAAATGATTAACAAACATGCTGGACATTTGGATTGACAACAAACTGTCAGTCCCAGAGTGACTGAGCGCAATCGGATCTGTTTTTGACTCCTGGATGTCTCCTAAGACATGAAAAATGTTTCAACACGAGAAAGATTGAAGAATAAATGGTTGTTCTTTTTTTGTTAAAACATTCAACCATGGTTTAGAATTTGTTTTTGTAACATTCACTCCAACCTCAGTATTTTAGTTTCACCAACTCACACCACTTCCTCCTGAAAGCTGGTCCAAATGAAACTTTAGTTGTAAAAATATTCTGCTCTTCCTCTCCATGTGACTCTGTTTTTAAACATTCCACCTTTATCGCCAATAAATCATCAACCCACAGGTGACATCACCTTTCTGCAAAGCCTCTATTAACAGTCACTGTTGACTTATTCATCCAAATAAGCCCTGAGTTGAAAAGAAATATTCATGCATGTACAGTTCATTTTGCATTAGTTTCCTGATAATTCAGCTTCTTATCTCAGGCTGTGAACAGATCCCTCTGTTCTCAGACTGCCAAATTTAGGCTTAAGCTGCTTTAATCGGTTTCGGATACAAGTTAACAACTGAATGTTGCTCTTTGTCACCATTGAATGCAACATAATTCTAAACAGTTTGGATGTTTTACTTTTATGATTTCAGATAATGCGATTGTTTTTCACATTTGATGTAATTAAATAACTGTTAACATTAAAAATCTTTTGTATTTGCGTTCATTATGTTTATTATTAATCTAAAAATAAAATGTGAAAAACAAGATGCTTCTGTTGGATCAAATGCAAATAATTTTTCTGAATTTCCTCAGTCATCTTTTAACTTAAGCAACTGAATTCTTAGTTAAATTGAGTTTCAGCAGCAAATGAAAACTGCAATGCTTTCTGAATTTGTGCACCAGGCTAGAAGTGGTTGAAGATCTGCTTCTTTGCTGCAGTATTTCTTCCTGTTATTCTTCTTGGTCCCAGACAGGAAGTCTAACGGACTGATAAAGGGCCATCCCTGGAAATCAGCTAAATGGATGTGGTCAACTTTTTAGCTCTACAGTTTCATTTTGAAAATACTTATCCTTTTAAAAGTTTAAATGTTTATTGGTGTAGAAGTGCTTGCAAGAAGATACTTGTAGGATATTTATTATTTTTCTTTCTTTTTTTAAGGGATTTTATTTATCTGAAAAGGAAGCTTCTGCAATAACATTCCATGTTAAGAGTTTCTGAAAAGTCAAAATGTCTGAAAATGTTAAAGAAGAAGAAAGCAACAAAGTGGGTAATGAATTACCATTAATGAATTTCTAACATTAATGAATTTCTAACACCTGTGCTCTAATTGATCCATCTCAGGTTACATAAATTACACAAAGGGGGAAAAGAGGAAGTGTTTGTTGTCTCTTATGTCCTGATGGATCCGCAGCTGCTTCACTTCCTCTTTTTTTATCTGCTCTCTCATTCCTCTTTTAAAGCACCACTAAATGAAAGAAACCATGTTTTCACAAGAAACTGTAACTTCAAATAAAGAACTTCTAATGAGGAACTTTTCCTCAGAGCCTCATGGGAAAATCCCAGTAGCAAAGGGAAGATTGGAAAATATTGTCATTGAAAAGAACTTTGCTCCTCCTGGAAACTTACAAACTCCAAATGCGGGGATTTTGTGTAATTTAATCAAGCAGAATAATTTCTTCAGTCATCCTGTGTTGAACTTTGATCCCTCTGATCTGTGATACAGAAAAGTGCCATGGCTCTAAATGCCCGCACAGAAGCAGGAAACTTGTTCTTCATTTGATAATATATGCTGCTGGGCGTGCAAAAGTTCACATGCTTTGAGGTTGTGAGCAACAGAGACACTTCCTGTATGTTTTCAGAGCTGCTCTGTTACTGCAGAGTGAAGCGTCTGTTTGAAGACACATAACGCTGTGACACACTTCCAAAGTCATCTGATTTATCTCCAAAGGTAAGAACTTTCTTCTACTAAGATCACAATCTTTTCCTTCCTTTATTAGTCAGCAAAGGTCATTTGGTGATGTTAGTTTGTTTAGAATCTATAAAATAAAACATATGTTTGTTTCATTTTGACAGTGTTGTGATTCCATTCATTACTTCTTCAATCAATTATCGAAGAAGTAATGATTTTACTCCCACACAATGAACAAAGAAACATCCAAATGCTGCATGAACAAACATTCATGCAAAACATGTCTGGCGGTTTAACTACATTTCTTATCTTCGTAAGAGTTATCAGTCAGCTACAGTTGGTAGCATTTCCAGTACATGACCCATTTCTTTGACTTGTTAAAATATGCTTTGCCAAAATGTAGAAGACCTACTCTAAAACTGTCTTTTAAAAGTTTCTTTTAGTGTAAGTGTTTTCCACTTTGCTTTCTGAAGCATTTTCAAAGTTCCCCTTTGGACTTTGACTACTTTTATTTTTTGCCAAGTACAGATGTTTAAAATATTTTTGTTTGTTTGTTTGTTTGTTTGCTAAGCCAGCCACCTCTGACCCACGATTCACTCATACATAAAAAGGCTTCAAGGATTGCAAGAGTAGAAGCACTGAGGAGTTTAAGAATGATGGTCAATTTTCACTAGGTTCTTTTCTTCCTGTTTACAGATTTTCAGATACTAACCTGGAATTTCTGAACATCATAGAAAACTACAAACAAATCATCTCCATGATGAACTGATGCTGAATTTCATGCAAAAAGTGCCCCTACCTAGTATTTAGTGCAAAAAAACACTATAAGGATTTTTTTGTTGTTTTCTGTTCACATTACCCTGTTAGTTGGGGTATTTTGACCGTGTGAAACAAACATTTCGTTTATACAACGCAGCTGAGCCTAACCACATAGCTTCTCTGTGGTTATGTTCTTATTTCACCAAATTCCTCTTGCATCTGTGTCTTTTCATTTTTTTTTTTCATTTCTCTATTCGTTTAAGTATTTTTTTTTCTCTAAACAGGTCAAAATGAAAGTCGCAGCTTTTAATGTGAGGAACTTGGGACATCAGAAAGTCACAGACAAAATGGTTTCCCAATACCTCACTAAGGTAATGGAACTATGTTCATTTTTACAGCATTTAATAATGAGATACATTATGCAATGTAGATATATATTGTTTACCTGGTTTGTGTTTCTCCCAGATAATCTCTCAGTACAGCGTAATTGTGATACTCGAGGTGGTAGATAAAAGCGGCAAAGCCATGGAGATGTTGCTTAAAAAACTCAATTGTACTGCGTAAGTATAAAGTAGGAAATATCTTAGTGTACACAATGGATAATGGATAATGTTCATAAAAGCATTCTGAGTCATCATAATGTCTTCTTGTCTTGTATTTGTTCCATCAGTGATCATCCATATGAAATGGTCTGCAGCTCCAGTCTGGGCAGAAACACCTACAAGGAGCAGTTTGTTTGTTTCTACAGGTATATTATTACTACTAATAATATAGAATTAAAAGTCAAACGTTCAAATCTCTGTTAAACTAATGTGTCATGCTTTGTTATATTGAGCAATGACTGACATAAGCAACTTGATGTGAGGATTTAGAAACTCAAGATCTAACTTACATGAAAAGCAAACCACACTGTTCTTTTTCAGAGGAGGTATTTTTGCCTTTGTATAAATAGGACAAAAAGTAACATCTGAAACTAAATCTCCTCTTATTTATGGCTTAAAAATGTTTTTTTTTTGTTTTTTTTTTCCAAAGAAATTTGGATAATAAAAAACCAACAATTGGTCAGATAACCATCAAACCTTTAAGCAAATGGGCTATGGCAAAAGACCACACCATTTATCACTCCGACAAGCTACAGGAAGCTGAGACAATAATTCTCACAGATTCACCAACACTGGATAATAGCAGGTTTAAAAAAGCATCCCCTTGTTTAGCTGCACATTAAGATTGAAGGGTCACAATTAGGAGTAAAAAACAACATGAAAACATTGATCTATTCCACCTTGTATCAATGTTTAAGCTGCTGCTGCTGGTGCAGTAGTGTGGGGTATTGCTTTCTGGCAAATTCTGGGCCCCATATTATAAACTGAGTGTTATCCTCCAACCTTCCTGACTATGTCCATCCCTTGATGACCACAGTTTTCAATCTTCTGGTGGGTAATTCTAGAAGGATAATGAATGATACCACTTAGGTTAGGTCATCTCAAGCTGATTTTTTGAAAATACCACCAACATTAAACTCCAATGGCTTCCACAATCAGCAGGCCTCAGTCCAATAAAATACCTCGAGGATGTTATGGACTCTGGGATATTCATTTTGGATGTGCATCTGACAAATCTTGACCAAAATGTTTGAGAGATGTTTATGACACCCTGTTAAATCTATGCTATACACAGTTAATACAATTTCATGAAGTTTCTGATGCACTCTGAGCAGTAAAAATCTATAAACCCCTCCAAAAAGTTGCCTTCTCATGTACTCAAAAAGGTTTAAAATCGTGTTCACAAAACAGTAACAATTTTTTTTTATTGTTATTATTGTTTGTGTTTCAGAGCAGATGAGGTCAAGCTTACAGCTCAGTATCAGTATGAAGATAATCAGGCTGGGGATGAAGATGCCTTCGCAAGAGAGCCCTTCATCCTGCGCTTTCACTGTCCCTCCACAGGTGTGTGCTGTTCCACATTAATGAAACATCAGGTCACAGGGTTTCTACACAGTTTGGAAACATATAAGATTTTACTAACTATTTTCCAAATGTGTATAAGTATGTATGAAGAGAATGAAATCTACTGTTTTGCACATACTTTGATTCCTAATATTACTGCATTCAATTATCATCCATCCATCTGTCCATCCAACCTGCTACGTGTTGCAGTTTTTGCAGAGTAAATACTTTATGTATAACTGTTATAGATATATCGGCTGTGAATGTATGGTCAAATGTTGTGTTTTATTTGGGGATTAAAAGGATCATGTGACCCAGGAGACGTTTTGACATGAAATATGTAAAAATACTGAACTGAGGCCTCTAATTTATTTTAAACCAAAAGATTTATTTGAGCTCACATCTGTTTACGTGCACTGTGGATTTGGGTCTATGTTATTTGCTTTTATGTCCACTTTCAGTTGTAAAAGACCTGGTCCTGATTCCGGTCCACACCAAGCCAGAAGACTCAGAAAAGGAACTTGATGAGCTTTACGATGTGGTCAAAGCTGTCAGACGGAAGTGGAAAACCGATGTAAGTTGTTAAATCTTATATAAAGATATGCGGCTTGAAAATTGGAAGGTAATATTAGAGCTTTTATTAATAGCTTTGCTAAAACTCAGCCAGAAGTTAATCATTTCAGCCATCTCGTCACTGTAACTCAGAGGAGAAACTCTTCAAACTCCAGGTGTCACTGTCTTGTTAAAAATGCGAGTGAGATGCTAGATAATGTGTTTGGTGAATCACTCATTGAGTAACACCATGATTTCTTCCATTTATTGTGGATCTTTTCTGTTATTACAAGTCATTCTTTTTTAATGTCTTTTAACACTAAAGTAATTGAGAAGGCTGCCAATGAAGGAAATCTTGGGGGAGCAGGATAAAAAAACAATATTCCAATTTTGCTTACAGACACTAACAGTCATCACTACTCTAAATACTTGTGTGCAGTAACGTGTGGTTTTGACTTTTATTTTTTGTCCTTGGCAGAACATCATGATATTGGGGGACTTCAACGCAGATGGTCGATACCTTTCCAAGAAGAAGAAGAAATCAATCCGCATCTCTTCTGATCCCTTCCATTGGTTGATAGATGACGATGTTGACACCACGACTAGTAATTATAATGACAATACCTACGACAGGTGAGATACATGTTAGGTGTCAAGGACAACCGTCTTTGTTTCTACAACATTAATAAAACAGCAGATTGTCACTTTTAGCTTGAGGTTTAATGAGTCAGGACAAAATAAAAATGACTTTGTCTTGGAATTAGATAAAGAGTTTACATCACAACATCCGTTTGTCATCAATACACACTGTGCACATTTTTAGCATACTTTGAATAAAAATAAATTCCTGACATTTTATTCCTTGAAATAATCATCTTGCTTGAGAAGGATGTTTCAATGTCCTTATTTCCAAATTTATCTATGCTTGTTGAGGTTTGCAGGTAGGTTACAGTAATTACCTGCCATGAATTACCTTGATTTTTATATATTTTTTTTATCTAGTCATTTTTGTTATAGATCCCCTCATTGTTATTTAGTATCGGACCCGGGGATTGCACCCTGCCCAAATGTATTAAACTAAGATCATAAAAATAGTCTACTTTCTTCTTTACCTGACTGAATCTGAATGGTTGAATTCCATTCCCTCTAACAAATCATGAACTGCAAAACATGTCTACTGTTGATAAAAGTACTATCTAGTAATATTATATGTAAATGTAAATGTGTGAATGACTTTGCAGGTATGTTGAAAACTGCACCAATAAAATGCATTGTGATACTATCTTCTTCAAATAGGATTGTGGTGTATGGGGAAGAAATGCTGGATGCCATTGTTCCTGACTCTGCAAAGTCCTTCAACTTTCAAGTGGAGTTTGGGCTGACAGATGAAGAAGTATGCTTTATTATTATCATCGTTATTGTTTAGCAATACTGCGTCTCAGAGAAATGGTTGACACTTTCAGACAGTTTAGAGCACAGAAGAGGTGCTAAGATTTATAATTTCATGTTTTTACTCCCCAAGGCTGGAAACATCAGTGATCATTATCCTGTGGAGGTGGAGCTGGAGACTGTCAAAAAAGCAGTAAAACCAAAGAAGAAGGCTTTACCGCAAACAACAAAAACTTCCCCTAAAAGAAAAGGTCCAAAGAAAGGTACCATTTATTTTGTTGACAACAGAGGCTTATATAATTTACTCTAATAGAATTTGATCACCCCTGATCTAAACTTTTCCATTGCATCCCTGGCCATATGGTTAGGGTTCCCCTGCTGAAAGGTGAACCTCCTGCCCAGTTTCTAGTCTTTTAGAAAACGTTTTTAGTTTTGTGTGTGTGTCCAGGATTATCCTCCATTTAGCTCAATATCTTACTGTCATTCTGACTTGCTCCCCTTCCTCCGATGAATAAAAACATCCTAACAGAATGTTTGTCTGCCACCACTACTTTCCACCTTTGGCATATTGCTTTCAGGGTAATAGTTTCCCACCCCACATAATGTTCAGCAGGTCTGGTAAATAAATAAAAAAGTTCAGTTTAACTTTCTGTACCAGAGGAATTTTTCGCATGCTTTCAACAATTGAACAACATTGCCATTTATCCACAAAGGCCAGGTTTATGGGTTACATTAACAAATGTCTTGTCTATGCATTTCCCCACCTGAACAATGAACTTCTGCAGCTCCTCAAGAGTAAGCAGGAGCCCTCAAGTTAATCTAATTGATTCTTAAAATATACACACCGGCTCTACACTGAAATCAATTGGTTGTACTGGATTTTGTTTGGGGGCATACTCATAGTACACAAAACTCACATTTATATTTGTAAAAACTATATTGTTCTCCCTTTTACTTTACAAGCATGCAATGAAAAGCACATTGAAGATATTACAGTTTATGGTTTGTTGAGGATTCGAACTTTTGCAGGCATCATGAGTGCATATCACTTTTTATCATTTTTATGTTTGATTCATTGTAAAATTCAGTCTTTGTTCATTTCAACCAACAGGATCACAGAGTAGAACCAAGCCATCAGAATCCAAGACTTCAACGGCAAAAAAGAGAAAAGGACAATCAGTTGCATCCAAGACGCCAACAAAAAGGAGACGTTGAGCCACTTTAACCAATCATTACCAAACTCACCGAACTCATTATTTATAGGCCTTTTTCTTGTCTAAATTTTTATGGAAACTCAATGTCCAATAAAGAAAACAAATATAAGTCGACAACTTAATTCTCTGACTCTGATGAAACTTGATATAAAATAAAAAAATATTCATAAATCGAACTCATGAGTAAAATTTATTTTTATTTTTGTTACATTTATTTATTTTAAGAATAAAATAAATAAAAAATAAACTAAACACACATGTATTTCATAAAATGATCTTTATTTAGCTATTTTTATGTGTGTGTGTGTGTGTGTGTGTGTGTGTGTGTGTGTGTGTGTGTGTGTGTGTGTGTGTGTGTGTGTGTGTGTGTGTGTGTTTTATATGTACAAAATCCCCAAACTGAGACTGGAGAACAGAAGCTACTTTGTTTTGACATTTTAGAGAATACATCCAGAAGTCATATACTCACACCACTTCACAGCCAAAAATATGACCCTTCCCGCATTCACAGCTGCCTAATTTCTAATCCGTCCAGCAGATCCATTGAAATGATTACAAATCTTCGTAATTTTAAAGACAAATAAAATTGTCTACTTTTGCAAACAGTGTTTACGCTGAAATAAATCCTATTTAGCTTTATACAGAATTTGAGGTGTTTGAATTATAATAGAATTTTACATATTAACATAAAATAAATCACATTTTGTTTTGGACAGAATTTGAGATGTTTGAATCATAATAATACTAAGATTTTAAAGACTTGTTAGCAAGTTACCTAGCAACAAGCCAGGTAGGTGCTTCAACCTTTTTTGAAGTGTGTTCACAATTTTGCGATGTCTGAAGCGATTAACGCAAAAGGGAGCGTTCAAGACTGGATCCCAAAGGACCCCGGAAAAAAACCACCAAGGTGAGTTGAACAAGTCACCTAAAAAAAAAATAAAACGAAGAAGAATTTAGCCCATGTTTTACAATGGAGTACCGAACCGATACGAGACGCAAGTTGTTCCGTACTAAATATCCGATAGACATCTGTCATACATAAACACTGAATGCATCAGTAACGAACACAATAAAACACTGGAAATATTGAGTCCAGCCAAATTGTCGGGTGTTGTCGGGCAGCACGGTGGGCTGCCTGATAACAGACAACCCCGATCAGGAGAAACGTTGCAGACACTAAGAACTTACAGCAACCAGGCTTTCGTGGAACCTTTCGTATTTCATTTAGAAATGCAGACATTTTTGAGGAAAACGGTTTTTATTGATTATTCTCTTTCTATTAGCTTGACCGTTGGATGATCTGACTTTCTTTCAAATCATAATACAGGCAGCAAATGTTACATTTATTTAGCAATTTGTTAAGGCTATATGTGTGACCAGAGGTGGTTAGTAAGTAGTTAGAGTAACTTTTTGAAAGACAAACAAACAAACAAACAAACAAAACAAAAAAAACTTTTAGGAGTAGTTTTACTAAGCCATAATTTTTACTTTTAATTGAGTAACATGAGGATGAAGTATTGCTACTTTTACTTAATTAGAATTTCAGAATGCTTTATTCACTGTGAGTGACTTCACTTTAAGCAACGACCATCCCATGAGAATTGGCGACATGAACCTTGGTGGTCCTTGGGCGTCTCTTATTTTCATTTATGAAAGGTGGTAACCGTACAGTTGACCTCAAAATTTGGAATACAGAAGTGGGAATTTTTTTTTTTTTTTAGTCATTTAAAATCAGAATTCTGTTTTATTTCTTTTTGTTGTTGTTTCTCTCCTCAAGTGTTATTGAAGATATTCTATGTTGTGATATCTCACTAAAGGTATGTACCCAAGCACATGGCAACTATTCTGCTTGAGCAGAAGTCAAACAAACAGGCTTGGAAGACGATGGGACCAGCAAAACTTGAATTGCCTTCTCCGTCGAACTACCTCAAGAAAAATGCAAAGCGCCCCAAAGCTCCTGAGAGTTAGTTCCTCAAACAACTGCATGAGGATTTGCTTTTGTGCTGTCAATATAACCCACCTGTTATATGCTTTTCTTTAGGGACAGGGACTGGAGGGCAGAAAACCAGTACTACCACTGTAAGGCTACCTCTTCATGTACCGCCCAATCCAGTCAAGAGGGCTGTCATACAGACAGCTGATGTGAAGCCTAAGCCCTCTCGTGTCGACTTCGCACAGGCACACAAACAGCTTCTCCAAAGTGCTGGACTTATCCCCAAATACATTGTGAAAAAGGTATTATCCTTCATCCTGTCACTTCACTCTGTGGAAAGTGTGGCTAATGCTGACAGGTCCTGGGCCATGAGTGCTATTTCTCTCCTCCCTAACCTTTCAGTGACTGATCAACAGCACCTGTTGAATTTTATGAATTGAAAATGAAATAATATTCAGAACCTCCCTAAGTCCAACGATGCTAAACCAAGCTTATATTCCTGTTAACTGCTACATTTTCCACATAGGAGCCCTGTTGAACATTTGAGCAAATTATAGGTGGATGTGAAGTTTCTTTTTCGTTCCTGCAGGATTATGGTGAGATACCTAAGTACTTGCAGCAGCGCCGTGAAGCTGAACAGCAGGTTAGGGATGACCAGGAGAAACTTGAAAAGCTGAAGCAGGCCACACGACAAGTGTCAGAGGAAGAGCGAAATGCTGCCTTGGAGGTATGCTTCATTTATTTTCTTTAACAACAGACGTCTAACATCTAAAACGTCTGGTGAAGTAAATAAAATAAAACAGAGAAAGTCAAAGGACTGTAAAGATAGAATAATGTCTTATGTCAAGTTCCCATGTTTGCATCTTCTTGTTAGGGCTTGAAAAAGAAATGGCATGAAGTGCATCGTGAATATCAGGGCCTTCCTTTCATCCTATACACCCCATCGCAGAAAGGCCGCAAGGTCCACATGGAGGAGCAACTGACTGAACTGGAGAAGCACATAAGACTGCTTGAAAAGTTCAAAACCATCTACATTTCTGATGCAGATGCTGGTGGAAGTCCTTAACCCCTGAGACTCCAGATGTTATTTTTAAAAAATAAAATGTTCTACATCTATTACAGCTTTTATCTGTGATCTGTAAAGCTTTTAAAGTAATCTTATTTTGTAGTTTTATTGCAGTGAAAACATGCATATATTGATATTCATTTTTACAGTCAGGAAAAAAAATTGCAAAAGAAAATTATAATATATTTTCATAAATTAGCAGAGGCTTTTATTTTGACTCAGAGAGAGCACCATGTATGGTTCTCTGGCTCCATCACCGGATAGCCGGAAGCAGGGAAAAGTTATTTGATCAGACAGAATAAATAAATAAATGAGGGTCAGATATGTTTAACATTAACAGGTCAAACATGATGTTTTCACACAAAAACATCAGCTTATTAGAACTACTGGATTTTCCACAAAACTGTGAAGCTTTTGATCATAGTAGAAAAATAAAACAACACCCATCCACATTAAGATTGGAGCTTCATGGTTCTCCTAGTTTCACCTGAATCTGTTGGTGTTTTCAGATCATTAGTTTGTTCATTATTATACCTCTCAGCTTTCAAGAACACCAGCTGTCCTGCCAGAGCCAGAACCAGCACAGCAGCCACACTATCTGGGATTGACCAATAAGACGGCTCCTCTGATATGCTTTGCTGACCTGCAAGGTAAAACAACTTGTTTACTTTGCTTACTCATTTATGAGTGTACATCAAAAGGTCATGCGTTTCCACCACATTACAACTATTTCTCACTAGAACTGTGATATCAATGGGACAGGCTAAAATCAGACAACTGGCTCAAGCTGGAAAAAATATAACCATACATCAGGTTTTGTGAGAACATCCGTGTGCACATGAATTTGAACAAATTTAACCTTGCTATTATAAAAATACTCTTTATATATGCATATTTACAAGACTTTTTTTATATGATTACATTTAAAATGTCATCTTAACTGAGAGCAAAGTAGAATCAATGTCAAATTCCTTGGTTGTGCGCATGAACTTGGCAAATAAAGCTGATCCTTAATGAGATACTTGTTTACTCGCTGTTTCCAGGAACAGAACTAAGTGAGAGGATGTTGCATCTTGTTTCTTTGTTCCCTGGCTCTTGAAAAGCTCCTTAAAAACCTGAAATGTCCAGAAGCTGTTGATAGCAGGTTTTGATCAAGTTTCTCTCATGAGCAGTTACTTTTCCAGATGCTGTTCAGATTAATGCAATGATATTCTGGAGGAGTTGTTTCTTTGGAGGCTGCCTGACTCAAGGGACAGATCCCAAACTAGTTTGTGTTTGTGATGGTAGTGTGGGGCTATTCCCCACCATTGCAATAACAAGTATGGACAAAATAGTCAAAAAGGTTTTACTTAATCTTTAGTCTTACTCTTAAACATATGCTGTGCAGGTAAAATACATTTTTACACAAAATTGCAGAGGGAATCTTCGGTATTTCCTAGTAAGTAAAATTGTAACACCCAGCACTACAACTATTCTTTGAATAAATGTAGTCTGTCCTTCCTGCTCTGATGATAACTGTGGGATCTGCACAGGTGGATGTAGGGTGGCATTGGACACGTAATCCACAACGCTATCAGTATTAGCTGACCTGAGGGTATAAAAGAGCATTGGACAGAGGTTGCCAGGACAGCAGGTTTAAGGAGACTGCAGATATGCTCAGGTTTCTTTTGTTTACCTCTCTTGCAGCCCTGGGTAAGTAGCACCTATCCTATTTTGAAGATTCTCCACAGAAGTCCCATATGGACTTTAAAGTAATATTGCTATTTCCTTTGGATATCTGCTTTGCTCAGTTCTGGCTGAACCCCAGCCCAGGTACCTGAAGGATGGTATTGGTGAGGAAAGAGTTGTGGGAGGAGAGGTGGCCAATCCTAACTCCTGGCCTTGGCAGGTATACTTCAAACCCTTTCAGAACTTATAATTAATGTGTTGCAAACTTAACAAAACAATCACTACCATAAAGACAAGACGAAAAGGTAAAAGGTAAAGGTAATTTTATTTATATAGCACATTTTCAGCAACATGGCAATACAAAGTGTTTCACAGGAATTAAAAGGAAATACAAACAAAATAACAAACCAAAGGAAAGAGCAAAATAAAAAAGGAAAAATAATCTAATGTAGATCTAAATTATGTAAACTAAGTGCTCCTGTTCAGGGTTGCTAAGTATCCTCTGGTCT